CACGAAAAAAGTGTTACAGTTACACATTTGTAGTCAATTCAGCAACACAAACTTCTCTGCATGAGAGAGAAAACTTGCAATGCAGAAATCCTACGGCAAAACACCTATGAAACGGGGCTCCTATGCATATCCGGCATGACAGAGCTTGTCTGTCTTGCTTGGCCTGCATAGACTATGTGTGTAACTGTAACACTTTTTCCGTGCCATACCGCAAAATTTTCGGCCGCCACACCACATCGGTCAGGTTGCTGCGCAGGAGGGCGTAGAGCCGGTCCGCCGACTCATTGCGCTATCCTTTGCAAAAGAAGTATCGCTATCGCACTACGTATACTATAAATTGCAAAACAAGAATAAACCAAGAAGAACAAATTGGCTCAGCATTACACATTGAATTTGCAATGCGGATTTCCCTTAACAACTAGATTTGTAATGTATAGCTGCAAGACCACTTTTGCAATTCATATGCACTGGCCCTTCCCGAAAAACGTGAGAGCGCGATCCACTTCCTGCTGGATCGTACCGGAAAATTCGTTATGCTCTGCAAAAGTATCGCACTCGTAGTAATTGCTGTTTTGCATGACCAATCTCCTTCCTGACGTAAAACAGCATTACAAATTTCGTTTGTCATGCTAAGCAAATTTGTATTGCAATCACTACTGGAGGTACGATGCCTTTGCAATGCATATTCGTACGCAGAGGAGCCTCCGAAGCCGTTTTTTCCCTTCTGATACGAACCGCCTTTTATGCTCCACGTGGGTTGAAACGTGTTCTGGTTCGCGGGCGGATCGATGGAGGGGAACAGCGGCGCAGGCGAGTCTTCTTGCTCTTCGTCTATTGTTGCATCTGTTCTTAGTACTACTTTGCTAGTACTACTCAACATCTGCTGGTGTTCGATCTCGTGCTTTACTTTCAAGTAGTCCGCGTTGTCAGAAACCGCGTCTTCGTTCGGTACAAATATAACCTGCTCAGGTCTTACAATCCCGAACGTTACAATAGAATCTGGAATTTGTGTTGCAAGAAGTGCATTATCTAGCCACCTCTCATAGGATTGCGCATGGCAAGTTATGGAGTCCCAATCCTCAGCACAATCTGGCGAAATTTGTATTGCAGAACGGGGAATGCTGTCCGAGTCTGTCATGCTCATCATGCAATACAAAACCCAGACTCTATGGTAACCGATCTGAGATTGTAACTACGCTTGAGCGGGTCATAACAAACCTCGGAGAATTCGGGACACTCCGCGTATGAAAGCCTCAGAATGGAAATCCTCAAAGTGGAAATAATTTGTGATGCATGAAATGCGACGCAAAAAAAACTGTATTGCAGAGGACGCAATGGAGGCCGGCTATTATCCTGCTAGGGGCGAAGAATTGAGGTGCTGCTTAGCACGACAGAAAGGCACCCCTTTCCCTTAACCTGCATGAGCATGACAGGAGACGTGCGTTAAGTGTCCGGGAAATTTGTCATGCCCCGCCTACAAGTGGCGCTTCAACTGGCGTCGTTTTTTTGCATTACAAATTATTTCCACTTTGAGGATTTCCAACCCGAGGCTTTCATACCGCGCTCGCGTGTTGGCGTCCGAGAGTGCTTCCTGGTTTATCGTGCTTGTAGTTTGATGGCCAGCAGCTGGTGAACCTGTACTAGGTATAGACGCGAAGAGCGTGTCGGGTTTGTAGTAGTACAGAACGGTCTATGAGAGTGCACAAGCATGATCCCCCCTCCCCGTCCTTGCGTGGAATTAAAACTATGCAGAGCTGCCTATTCCTGTACCTGTGCGTATTTACGGTGATGTTGCAAGTGAAGTGCAACTTCACTTCGCAAAAATTCCAAGATGCGAGATGACGCTACAACAAGGCAACGCCAGCGCGGCTAGCCTTGTGCTTTTGCATGACACATGACTATGAGGGGGGCCGACGAGGAAGAATTTTTGTGTACTGTCATATCATCACCGCCACAAACACACAGCAGACCAGCAGCAATAGCCCCGCTATGCAGCCGGCGCAGACCATGTTATCGTCTGCAAAAGTTGATGTATCGTGCTCCTGCTCGTAGTAACTGCATTTGCAATAAGGCATGACAAATCTATAACTTTCTACCTGTTCTAGCATGACAACTTGCGACATTTGTGTTCGTGAGAAAATTTCCATTGTGCGATACTTCAACTTATACCTTTTGCAGCGCATACATGTAGTACAGCGTTGATTTGGGGATCACCACCACGTCACTTGCTGCCCCGGCGCCGTTTTTATTTGCCCCTGGCCCGCCCCCGGCTGCTCGTGATGGAGATGATGTTCTATTGGTGCCGGCGGTCGTAGTAGTACTACGACTCGAGGAGGATGACGTTGACGACAGCGTGGGACCAGGCATATCAAAGTGAAAAGAGCCTCCACCCCATGGCCATGTTCAAAAGATAATTTGCATTGCTGGATTTGTGTACACAGATGAGCTTTCTATTGCAGCAAGAGCAGCTTGTCGGCACATTCTAAGCTGACCATTTGGGTATGCCTATGCATCCGGCTAGCAGCTGAGCATGAGAAACAAATCTGAGATAGGCGAAAACGCATGACAGACTCGCTGCACCACAACACGCAAGACAAAGCTGATTTGTGGTCATCAACACCATCACAAATCAGCATCACAAATTTTCTCCTCGATATGGGGAGAGGGGATTTTTCCTTACGATAACGCAGCACATTTGATGTTTCCTCATCCTCCACTAGGGTCCAGCTATCGGACGTATCCTGTGCAAAAGTATCGCACTCGTATACGTATTGCATTCATGCATTACAAATCTTTATCTTAAGGTACATCCGCATTACAAATTTTATCTCTCGTGCTGAGGAAATTTGTCATGCATTTATACGACGAGTACGAGACTTTTGCAGTTCATAGGGCGCTGCAGATGACGATGAGGAGGAAGATGAGCTACTAGATGAAGTAGTACTTCCACCGCCTGCGCATGTAGTTGTACCTCCATTCGCCGCGGGCGTGCTGGAAGTACTGTTTCCATTTGTAGCTGCTCCCATTTTCGGCTCAGGGCTGTTTATCGGCTGGGAATTTTTTATTGCCGTGGTAGTTTCTTGCTCCTTTATCTCTTCCGCTTTGCTCGGCACCCCTTCAAACGTATCAAGCTCGTCGTAGGCCTTTTCGAGGTCCGGATTGTCGATCATCTCTCCTTTTTCGATCGGCTCACCAAACGACAGACGAAAATGCTGTCGCTTCGCCCGCTTCGTGGTGTTTTCTGTATCGAATGCAAAAGCATCGCACTCGTACATATAGCAGCACAGCATGACAGATCTGGCTTCTTACCTAGTTTGGCATTACAAATTCAACTTTTCCTTCTGGAAAAAATTGTGATGCTATTTCTACTTAGTACGATACTTTTGCAAGGCGTAATCTAGCTCGAGCTCCAACTTTTCGTTCATTGTCTTCAGTGTGTGTATCTGATAGAGTTTTGATGTATTGAACCAACTTGTCATGCGCAGGCAGCATGTTCAAGATGAACCTGAATGTCTATGTCATGCATACAGCGCATCAGAAACAAAACTATTTTGCGTTTTACCACTGTCTCGTCCATCCTCTTCTCTTCGTTGGGTATCCAGGGCAAAGAAAGTTGTCTCGTTTGTACAACTCGTAGTTGTAATTGATGCAAGTACTATATGCATCACAACTACAGCACAAGGACAAGTCTTACGTGAGTCCCCCGCATTACAAATTCAAGTCTTCACCATGCTGAGCTTCCATCAATTCGTGCAAAAACCAAAATCTTGTGTTCATGTACTGTTACGATCTACAACTTTTTCTGTAATCCATATTGGCCAACTGTATTTCATTCTGGTAAGCGTGCGCAATCATGCGCTCCTTTTCATTTTTTGAGAGTGGGTACTCCCACGCGGTCGCGGTATTTGGCGTTGGCATTTTTTTCTGCTTATTTGGTAGAACTACAGCGAATGTACTTCAATTAACGGTCGTTGTGTGTCACGACTTCAATCCTACATACCTTTATTCCATCTATGACTTCGACATGACATCGACGTAACGAATGAACTTATCGATCATGAAACAAGAAGAAGCAAAAACAACAACACACAGCACGGTTCTATTTCTGTACTTTGATCATCATCATCTAAGTTTAGAGCTGGTGGTGGCTTTTTATTTATCCCTGCTGTTAATACTCCTGTTGCTAGTACTTCTTACCCCTTCTGATAGATCCTCCCACGTGCTTAGACTGAAGACATCACCACGTATAGTTCCTTCTCGTTTTAAGTACAACTTTTAGCCCAGTAGCAGTACAAAAACCTCTTGTTTACCCCTCAACATCTTCAATCCAGTTAAGTTCTTGTAGCTGTTGCTACCCACCCAAGCAATGACAGTACTTTTGACAGACTAGTACAACGTTGAACACACCACGACACGAAGATGCCCTATTCCGTTCGCTTTCAACGTCCCCTACGGCACGCAATATCGTGATCAGCTTCAGCAGCGCCATTGATGTTCATGTAGCAAAAATAGTAACGCGGCAAGCGCAGCCCTTACGGGTGGTGGAGGACGGCAACATACAAGACCAAAAATTCAGCCTGAAATAGGCCCTGCATCGTCAAAAAAATTTTACGTACAGTCATGATGTTCAGCACGAACAGTTTTCGATTCTATATCACTGCTGCAACTTTTTCCAGGATCAAGAGGCATAGGAGGCCACATCACGACAGAAGATGGAGTGGCATGATTTGTCACTCCGCATCGTAGTTCGCGGTAGATGAGCATGAACTGCAAAAGCATCGTACTTACTAGCAGTAATTGCATCACAAATTGGCTTAGCATTACAAATGAAATTTGTAATGCTGTTTTAGTACCTCAGTAACGAGATTTGTCATGCATAACAGCGATTACTACGAGTACGAGTACGATACTTTTGCAGAGCATAATGAGAACGAGTCCGCTGGAAAAGGGTCAACAACCGTCCCCTCGACTACTCTTCTACTAGACGTAGATATCGAACGAAAAAAGCGTTACAGTTACACAGTTGTTGGAGTTTCTGCATCACAAAGTAAATTGCTCGACATGGCTAAGAAAACCAAAAAAACCTGTGAAGGTTCGCAGACTATAAAGGAAAACACGAATGAAATGAGGCTGGCAAGCATTTCCTGCATGACAGAGGTAGTCTGTCTTGCTTGTCCCCCATTAGGGTGTGTAACTGTAACACTTTTTTTTTCACGATAGTAGATGACCCTCCTGCCGGTTGGTGGTGGTCTCGTCCTCCATTGGATGCGACGGCTGTATTTGTATTTTATCCTGTGCAAAAGTATCGTACTCGTACTAATTGCGTTTATGCATTACAAATTTTTTTGTCAGGGCAAATCCGCATTACAAATTCAATTTGTAATGCTGAGCCAATACCAATTTGTATTGCAATTCATACTGGTACGATGCTTTTGCATTTCATATATTTGTTGCTGGCGCAGTTTCTAGAACTCCCTCTTGTTGCTCGAATTCCTCCCCCGCTTCCGAATCGTCTTCGCTATTCAAGCCGGCCGTGCCGTTATTCTCTTCATTCACCACCTCCGAGAAAATCATGAATTTTGATCCGTCCGGCCGAAAACTGTACGCCAGCATTGCCAGAAGCAGCCAAGACCCGAACTCCTTCAAGGCCACGTAAATCCAGTAGCTCTGCCAGTCCGAGCTGTTCACGCCGCCGGTGTCATACGTCCCCCCGCCGATGACTGTGATGGAGAGGAACAGCAACACCGTGGGCAGTAGCAGGTAGTTATCAAAAGGAAAAATCCCGTCTCCCCAAATTGACAAGGCACGTTTTCGAAAGTTTGCGTTGCTGATTTGTGACCACAGATCGTCTCTGTGTTGCATGAAGGCAATTCCAATTCCACAGGCTCCGCCGCGTTCTAAGGGCGGTTTGTCATGCTCTTGCGCCTACAGTGTGGACGTCTGTCATGCAAAGCGCCAAGGCCAAAACCTGTCTCCTCAGGCTCGATATTATGGGTCTTCTGTCCTCGCCAGCAAGACAAATCTGATTTGTGTACGCAAATCCAGCATCAGAAAACTCGTTTTGATATGGGGAGGGGGGATTCTTCATTCTGATAGTAGTACAGAAAAATCACCCGGAGCTGCCAGTACATTTGCCGCTTTCGGTGGAATATCCTGCGCAAAAGCAAGCATCGCGCTCGTACTTCTGATCGCAGTCATGCATTACAGATCTCGTTCCCAAGGTGAATCAGCATGAGAAATTCCATTTGTCATCATGCTGCGCTAATTTGTAATGCGATTACTACAAGCACTAGTCGATACTTTTGCAATGCATATACAACCGCGGCAGCTCCGGGACAGGGTTGCCCGGCCCGTAGGCGTTGAGGACGGAGGTGACCGTGTTGTCGCTTACTTGAATCTATCAAATGCAAAAGTGTCTGGGTCTGGAAAAGTGGAACTTGTAATGCGTGTCTTGCATTCGTGGAAAATCTGTGTTGCATGGGCAGCAAAAGAGGGGCTTCCTTTGTCATGCAAAAACGTAATTTGTAATGCGTGCTAGGCATCAGCAGGCGTCTGAAGAACTTGTCATGCTTGGCTGCCTTTGAACGCGCTTCAATCATGCACAACTCAGCATCACAGCTTTCCAGACCCAGACATTTTTGCATTTGATAGAATCCCCAGCGAGTGCAGGTTGAAGTTTACCGCCACGATGATCACCAAAAAAGCGAGGCTGTGCAGAATGTCCCGCGACAGCTTGTAGCCCGAGCAGGTGTATGAACTGCAAAAGTGTCGTACTAGTATGGATTACATTACATTCTCGCTCAGCATGAGTAGAAATGCAATTTGTCATGCTGATTTGCCTCGGAAACGAGATTTGTAATGCCAAACTTGCATTTATACGAGTATCAGATACTTCTGCAGTGGATAGGGTGCTCGTGGTTTGGCACGTGAGCTCAAAGTATCAATATGCAAAAATGTCTGGGTCTGGAACATTGCAACTTGTGATGCTGTCTTTGGAAGGTAAAAAAAATCTGTATTGCATGACCAGCAAGAGGAGTGCAGTTTGTGCTACGCGGACTGGGCGTTTCTCATGCGGAATACGCATCAGGAGGCCCTTTAAAAATCTGTGATGCTCGGTCATGCATTACAGGCATCATGGGTTATGCAAAATATGCATGGCAAATCTTGCATTCTTCCAGAGCCAGACATTTTTACACTTGATACAAAAATCGCCAGGTAGAAACTAATTACGCCGATCCCGAGCAGAAATCGAATTTCTGTCATATTCAGCCGTCGCCGCAGAATCTTCCAACCCAGGGCAAACAACTATCGTGAGAAAAAAGTGTTCTTTCACTGTAACGATTTTGCGAGTTTCGCATCACAAGTTCGTTCTACATGACAAAGAAAACTTGCCATGCGCGGGTTGAAACTCCAGTGTTGTTCTATGCAGGTGTAGCAAGGCAAATCGTTCTGCATTCCATTTTCTGCATCACAAGTTCACAGTGAAGCAGTTTTTTCTTGCGATAACAACAACAAAATCTCGAGTTCCACAATCGTCTCGATCTTTTCAAACAGTTTGGGGACAAAGTCGAAGAGAAATTTCTGGAACAATACCGCGGTTTCGGAAATCTGGAGTGCGATGTTGGAACTATGTTCATCCGGGGCATTGCTATAGTCTGCTTCAGGCTTAGATGAAAAAGTAGAAGTATCCAGGGAAAAAACTGTGTTAGTGTAGGTCTCTTGGAGTGCCAGCATTACAAATTTGCTCTGCACGAGAGAGAAAGCCTGTCATGCAATGCTAGTACGTGAAAACACACATGAAAAGAGGACTTCATGGGTGTCTGGCATGACAAGTGTACCTGTTTTGCATTTTTTGCATCACAGACTTACACTTACACAGTTTTTTTCTTGCATAAGAAGTGCTTGCGGCTTTTCGTTCGTCCTTGGATGTCAAGTGCACCAGTGTACCAAATGTAAAAATCCCTGGATGTCTGGAAACTTGTGATGCTGGGTGGCGTCTCATGATGAGGCTACAGATGCTGGCTCAGCATGACAAGTTTCTGAGCTCCTTCTAGGTGTTGCCTATTCTGCATGACAAACTGCGCTTCTGCATCACAGAATAACGGAGCTCTTGGGTTTCGTGCATGACAGATTTAAGAGTCATGCCAGACAAGCATGACAAATATGAATTCCTCCAGACCCAGACATTTTTACAGTTGATACAGCGGGATGCGTCCGTCCGCACTGTCGCGCTCCTGGTCTCGGGCCAGCTCCGCCTATCAAATGCAAAGATGTCTGGGTCTGAAAAAGTGGAACCTGTAATGCGTGTCTTGCATTCCTGGAAAATTTGTGTTGCATGCGCAGCGGAAGAGGAGCTTCCTATGTCATGCAAAAACGCGATTTGTAATGCTAATGCGTGCTAGACATTAAAAAGGCGTCTGAAAAACATGTCATGCTTGGCTACCATTGCAAGCGGAAGCGCTTCAATTATGCGCAGCGCAGTATCACAGGTTTATTCCGGACCCAGACATATTTGCAATGCATACCGCCTGCGTCTTCACAAAGTCTTGCTCCAAGTATTCGTAGTGAACCACGTTGAGGTAGTTCGAGAAGGCCTTGTAAAAAAACGCGGTTGTCAGCACGAGGTGCAGGTAGCCTCGGGGGATGTTTCCCCGAAAGCGGTACAGCAGGTACTGCGCGCGGCGGTATTCTGGGATACTTTCGTCGTTTTGCAGAGCGTATGACCTGCAAAAGTATCGTACTCGTATAAATGCATCACAAATCTCCTCAGCATGAGAAATAAAATTTGTAATGCAGATTTGATGAATTTATTCTGCTCGGCGCTGTCGCCTTAGAATATCCTTTTGCGACCTTGTAGTCTCATTAAAGCCTGGATCGGTATTCTATCACTTGCTGTTGTTGATTGAAACGACATCGCTGCTGAGGAGGAAGATGAAGATGATGTTGTAGTAGTAGTAGTAGTAGTATTTCGAGCTGGAAATAGAGATGTAGAGGATGTAGAAGAAAAAGAAGATGATGATGATGATCTTGCTGTGCCGTAACTAATGCCGCTGATGATGTTTCTCCATAGATTTTTGTCCGTTTGTAATGCAGATTTACCGTAGCAAAAGGATTTGTAATGCATGATTGCAATACGAGTACGATACTTTTGCACCGGATAGACCGCTCTGATCATTTCGGATCAGCTGGTTATGAACTGCAAAAGTACTGTATCGTAGTAGTAGAAATTGCATTACAAATTCCCCCAGCATTACAAATTCAGTTTGTAATGCTGATTTGCCTTGAGAAAGAAATTTGTAATGCATAAACGCAATTACTACGAGTGCGATGCTTTTGCACAGGATACTGGTCCGAAAACCGCCACTTCGTGCTGAAAAGAAGTATGGTAGTGTCAGGATTGAAATCGTCAAAGTTGAAATAATTTGTGATGCATAAAACGGATGCCAGTTGGAGCCCAGTTTCCAAGTGGCGCATGACAAATTTGGGTAGCCCCGAAATCCAGTCTCTCATGCTGTTTGGGTAAGGAAGACGTCTTTTGTCATGCTGCTTTAGCAGCTCAGTTTCTACCCCTCAACAGGCTTACAATCTGCCTCACTTGCCTACTCTGCAAGACAGGCACTTTGTGGGCTGCATTTTATGCATGGCAAACTATTTCAACTCTGACGATTTCAATCCTGACGCCCCCATAAGAAGGAAAAGGAACATATAACCAGCTCAGGTGTTACAATCTCAAATCGGTTACCATAGAATCTGAATTTGTGTTGCAATATATAAATGCGCAACATCTGGAGGCCTACTCCGACTCGTCCCGCAGGATTGCGCATGACAAGTTTCGGAGAAACCAAACCGCACTAGAAGCATCTGTGGAAATTTGTATTGCACAATTTGGAATGCTCTACGATTCTGTCATGCTTATCATGCAAGACAAGTTCCAGACGCTATTGTAACGTTTGACATTCTAGTAACACCTGAGCGTGTTATAGAACAGCCCCGTGCACGCGTTTACGTACTGCCAGGTCTGGAACACCTTGGGCAGCAACTATTGTGAGGAAAAATCTCCCCTCCCCATATCAAAAAGCAAATTTGTGTTGCTGATTTGTGACCACAAATCTGCTTTGTCTTGCGTACAGGCAAACGGCCTCCATGTGGCGCATTGTGCAGCGAGTCTGTCATGCGTGTTCGCCTACGTCGGACTTGTTTCTCGTGCTCAGCTGGTAGCCGGAAGAGTTGTACCCTCCAAATGGTCTTAGAATAAGTATGCCGCCAAGGAGCTCTTGCGGCAATACAAAGTTCATTTGTGTACACAAATCCAGCAACAGGAATTGTCTTTTGAATATGAGGTGGGGGCTTTTTTCACTTTCATAGCAGCTCCTGCTGGATGGTCAGCGCGCCCGTGGTATCCTGTGCAAAAGTATCGTACTCGTATAAATGCAGGTCTTGCATTACAACTTTCTTTGTCAACGCAAATCAGCATTACAAATTTTATTTCTCATGCTGAGAAAATTTGCAATGCATTTATACGAGTACGATACTTTTGCAGTTCATACGTGGGGTTGTTCCTGTTCTTTGTCATCTCCCTCGCGACGACGAGCGGTGTAGTACCGAAGAGCCCCGCGGCCGTCGTGCTCGTGCCTTGAGAGGATGTTGATGTACTTGACGGGTCATCAACAAGACTGTAAGCGGGACGAGAAGAGGACACCAGCGATAATTTCATCTCCCGACCGGCAAGTAGAGCCTTTTCTATCCAAGAAAAAAACGTTGCTAGTGTAAATTCGTGATGCTCCACATGCAAGATGATTGCGTCTGTCTCTGTCATGCTTAGCATGCATCGCAGGGTCCATTAAAGGGCGTTTTCACGTACTATGGTATCTGCGCATTCCAGGTTTTTGCTGTCATGCCAGGCAAATTTGCAAGGCTGTTCCTCCAAAAAAGTTACACCGTGCAGTGTTTTGTTCTTGGATATTTTCCGCTGCTGGCACAGTGACCGGATTGCGCATCTCTACGTAGCCCTTGATATTGAGAGGAAAAATCCCCCCTCCCCACATCGAAAAGGTATGCCTCCGAAAATTTGTTATGCAGATTTGTGGCCACAAATCCTGTCTGTCTTGCGAGGAGGCAAATCCAGGCTCTTCGCCACTCTATGCGGGTGATTTGTAATGCTGTCAGGATTACAGGACAGCCGTCCACCATGCTAGGCGCCTACACCAAAAGGCCCCTAACTAGGCGGGCGATCTGCGTGCAGTCCTCTACTGCAAGACAAATCTGATTTGTGTACGCAAATCCAGCATCACAGATTTCCTTTTCGATATAAGTAGGGAGGGGGGATTTTTCCTTTTGATGCTTGAGCTTCAAGATTTTCTTGTCCGGGTTGAGAATCCCCAAATGGTACCGGTTTGCCTGTAGCCTACTCCCGCGCCCCGCGGTCTTCGGGAGGTGGAAAAGAAACTCGTTTTTGATGGCGATCGATGGGTCCTTGTTTGTCCGGCTACTCAACTTCAGCGGCTTGCGCCAGGTGGTCTGCAGGTATGAATTCAGTTGTCCCTCGGGCAGGGAGAAACGTGTGCAGGAAAAAAAGTGTGTGAGTGTAAGTCTCTTGGAGGAATAGCATCACAAGTTTGCTCTGCATGACACAGAAAACCTGTCATGCGCAGCTAGAACGTGGAAACACGTACGAAAGTTGCCTCTGATGCATGTCCAGCATGACAAGAGTAACAGTTTTGCATTTTCTGCAACACAAAGTTACACTAACACAGTTTTTTTCTTGGATAAAAGGCTCGTTGCTTTCATTGTTCCACTTCGACCACTGCTCGTGGGTCACGAGTAGCAAGTAGCAGTTGCTACTTTCTGCGTCCTCGCTGTTCAGGCTGTTCTCGGACTCCAGCTTATCCTGTTCAAAAACGTAAACGTCCCCATCCCAGAGTTGTCATGCAGATTTGCAATTACAGGAATGCTTCTAAAAATGCGCATCCCCATAAGAGAAGCCTACTTCGATCGTGTGTTCGCGTTTGCAATGCTGGAAGCAGGCTACGGAGACCGATTCGACGCGATGCGGGTGTCCTTGCAGCTTCTAACCTGTACAACTACAATACCGAGAGAAAGAACTTTTCATGCGTGAAGACTCCCAAAACTTCTAGATTTCTTGTTGCAGACTTCCCAACTTGGCGGTGGGGTGTGGACGTCGTTTTTACACAGGATACAACTTTATGCGAATTTTCGCTCCCGCGTGCAGCCCCACGTCATAAAGCAGCAAGGTCCAGTAGTCCTGCACACCCTCGGCCGGAAAAGAAACCGGCTCAATTAGGGCTGAAACAGGTGTCGTGGTACACGAGATGAATAACTGTAAGAGAACAAAAAGCAAACACCGGGCCAGAGCACAACTACTGAGGCTCGAAGAAACGTGGAGAGGACGACGTGCCGCTTTTGTTCCGCCGGCTCCACACGAAAGATGAGCGCGCAGGTAATCAACATCTTTCCGCCGCACGCGAAAGTTGTAGCGCTGCCCACGGCCGTGCCCCTGCGGGGACAGCATTATAAGTTTGATTTTTCCCGACCAGCAGCAGCTATCTTTTCAACACTTCTGATCTAGATATGAATTCCCAACCATCACTTATGTTTCCGACGAGCGCAAAAGGCGGGAAAAAAAAAGCAAGTCGTCCCCCAAAGTACTTATCGCTGATCTTCCTGCTGCCCAGGAACTCTAGACCTCCCATCGTTCGAATTTATTCCTCTACCGTGGTTATCTTGACAACTTGTTCGGAAGAAGACCACACGACAGCAATAGTACCAAATTCTGCGGAAGACACGACCAGCAAAACAGGATCATGGCACACGACGAAAGACACGTAGCTGTGATATGTTGAAACCGGTCTGGCAATAGATCAGGACGATGTTGCCAACACTTAGGATGTTCTGTGCAAGCTACGTCTTGGTGACAGAAGGGCTGCGCCGGCGGATGAACAGAACACATTACACAAGAAGTACTTATGTATGGTCTCTACTGGACTGCAAGTGAAGATGCACAGCGAGTTGCTCCATGCTGGACGGTCTATCTCCAGCATAGGCGGGCAAGAACTCGCTATATTCAATTTCCATGATTTTTTCCCGGCTCACAGACACAGTTGTCATCCGGCTATAGTAAGTTAACATTTGGATAAGCAATGATGTGGATCTGCTCTCGTGGCTTCTTGTTGTAACGTGAGATGAACGCGCCATTGTCCTAGTAAGAGTCTTCCTCCACAACAAGACGCGGCACCGTCTGGATAAACGTCTTCCTCACCGAGTGGGTATTTTCTCGTTGTCCATTGGAGTTACTTTCGTCCACCACTTCGTGTTGTTGTGCTTGGCCCTGGGTGGAAGAAGATGTTGAATCTGCTGCTGCAACGTCGAGTCCTTGTTCATCGACCCCTGATGATGAAGGAGCGGGGTTCATTTCGGTCGTCTTCTCCTCGTTCATCCGATTCAGCTCCGCATGCTCTTCTGGGTAAACCACTTCTATGAACTGCAAAAGTATCGCACTCGTACTAAAAATTCAAATTGTAAAAATGGCGTTTATGCATTACAAATTTTTTTGTGAAGGCAAATCCGCATGACAAATTTAATTTGTAATGCTAAGTCAATTTGTAATGCAATTTATACTAGTACAGTGCTTTTGCAGTTCATAATTTCCTCGGAGTACCGATTCGCCAAGCGGTCCAACGCGGCCAAATATCCTGTGCAAAATTATCTGATACTCGTACAAATGCAAGTTGAGCATCTTTTTCTCAAGGTACATACGCATTACAAATTTTATTTCTCATGCTGAGGAAATTTGTAATGCATTTATACGAGTACGATACTTTTGCAATGCATACCAAAATCTCCGGGTGGATGTCGGTCTGGTCAGCCTCGGTGCGCTCGTGCGGAAATTTGTAGCGCAAGTTCATGTGTCCATTGCAAACGTCGACGTCGTGTCTGGGTCTGCTGAATAAAACATTATGGAGTTCTCAAACGTTACATTTTCAACTGTGGCATGAATTTGTCATGCAGAACTACCACCATCATCCACAAGATCAAGCTGCTTTATTGCATGACAAATTTGCGAAAGGCTAAACAGCGCCTAAATCTGCGCTGGATTTGTCATGCAATTTTTGCAATCTTCCCCCTTTGTTTTGCTATTGCCATTCTTGCATTACAGATCCATGTAACACTTGAGAATGTAACGTTTGAGAACGCCATGAACATGTGCAGTTCGTTGTGATGGAAGTTTGTTCTTCAGATCGCGCAAAGATCCATCGTGAACAATGGGCAGCAAAACAAGGCGCCCTTGTTTATTTATTCCCTGTCATCAAAAGGAGCACTTGAAAGTGCCACTTTCTCTATGATCATGCGTAGTAGCCCGCCTTGAGAAAGAACCTTCTTTTGAATAAATGTCAATCTGCGATAATTCTACTAGGCTGGGCTCTTGCATGTCAGACCTTCTGGGCGGCAGCTGCGCGCCAGATTATATCTCCGGATGTGGAATAAAGAACTGCAACTGCATGACAGACATTTGCTACTTTCGTCCAGACCCAGGTCGATATTTATTTCCGTGGGTATCTTTCCGTTCGTCCTGACGTTCCCGCTCGCTGGAAGGGGAAATTTGTCCGCGGTAGAAGAGTATCCAATGCAAAAGCATCGTGATCGTATTCGTATAAATGCAAGTCTTGCATGACAATTTTCTTCCTGAAGGCAAATCAGCACTACAAATTTTATTTTTCATGCTGAGGAAATTCGTAATGCATTTATACGAGTACGATTACGAGGATAGTACTTTTGCAGTTCATAAAGAAGAGGACTTTCCCTTTCGGTAGTTCTGCATAATCTGCTGCACCTCGTCGAGGGGGTTCATCTTCCGGAATGAAGGTGCAGTGCTGCCACCATGAACAACATCATGCTCTGGTGTTCCAGATTCGCCGCCACCTCCTGGAGATGCGTTACTGCCTTCCTGCTGGAGATGAGGACCCCGTCCCCGAGCAACACCCCCTTGCCCTTCCTTCTGCAGATGGTCCAATGGAGCAAGCAGATCCGGATCAGCGGGTAAAAAAGACGCGATGACTCCGCAGAGAATCGGCAGGAGCACGTAGATCAGAAGGTTCTTCTTGTGCGAGTTGAATTCTTGGACGAAGGGAGCATGTTTCTCTACTTCCTTTTTGGTACAGTAATCTCCAGTACGAGGACCGTCCTCCTCGTCCGGGTGCTGCTTTATTTCATTTTCTTCTCCACGTCCACAGGCGGCCGCGTGGTCTTCGTTTTTGGCCGTGTATCAAATGCAAATATGTCTGGGTCTGGGAGGACGCGATGAACTTGTCATGCCAAGTCTGGATCGTACAAGAATTCGTGTTGCATGACTACCAAAAGCTGTCCACTTTTGAACAAGTTTAGAGGCAGTTTGTGATGCAGGATAGGCATGATAGACTCGTCGCAGAACCTGAACCTGTCATACTAGGTCCTGCATTCCAAACCTCATGGCGCATGGAAAACATGCATGAGAAGTTTGCATTCTTCCAGACCTCCCAGACATATTTGCATTTGATGCCGTGCTTTCAAGAACAATCCCTTCGGGCACGGCCTGGACCACCGCAGGCGTCGTGTCTTGCGGGGATTCTTTCTCGCCATCCAGCGTCGAAGCGGAAGTGCTGTGGAGGTCCATGCCCGATCGTGGTCTATTGCTTGATTTGTAAAGCGCTTTTAAATATCAAATATTTTCGCGTCGTGGTCGTAAATGGCGCTCCTAAGTACTCTTAGCTAGTACCCGCAGCTGCACTTCATCTCGTCCAGAAGAACAAAATATTAAGTTAGCCTAATTCTCGTAAATGCTTGTGAAACTGAAAACATTCAACAGGTGAAAGATTAAAGAGGTGAAAGATTAAAGACGAAGAGAGGCAGTGAAAAAAGCAGGGCCACTGTAATAAATTTTCCATCAGAAAGAAGCAAAAGCAGCGAAGCCCGACAAGGGCTTTGCGAAACTCAATCGAATTTGATCCTGGTGTCCCCGGGAAAGCAATTATCCACTCAACGATTTACGAACGCGCAAAAGAAAGCGTGGGGAGGACCTTCTGTATTCGTGATTCGGACGAACATCGCAACAGGTAAACAAGGATCCTGTAGGTCGTGCCTAGAACAACTACTTACACCCATAGCTGGGCCTGGGGGGGCGACTTACTTTATTAAGCGCACCGGCGGGCTCTGTCTCTGTTTCAACAATGTTCCTGGTGGCAGCATCAAAAATGCGTCTTCGCTACTAGTAGTAGCGTCGTGTTGATTGATTTACTATACTACGGTCTTTCGTCAATGGCGGTGGTGGCAGACTCGTCACTTCGAGCAGCCTGGTGCAGCCACGTTCATTGCGCATCCTGCTCTGATCATTTCCAGGAAAAAAAGTGTGTAAGTGTAACTTTCTTGGAGAAACAGCATCACAAATTTGCTCTACATGACAGAGGAAACCTGTCATGCGTGGCTTGTAAAGGAAAACACAGTTGAAAAGAGGACTTCGTGGCTGTCTGGCATGACAGGTGTAACGCTGTTGCATGTTCTGCAACACAAATTTACACTTACACAGCTTTTTTCTTGCATAGATCATTTCGGTGGTGGCAGACTCGTCACTTCGAGCAGCCTGGTGCAGCCACGTTCATTGCGCATTCCTGAAGCCTGCAGTCCTCTACTGCTAGACAGATTGGATTTGTGCACATAAATCCCGCATCACAGATTTCGATTTTGATATGGGGAGTGGGGATTTTTCACTTTGATAGCTTTTCGTTCGTCCTTGCTTGTCAAATGAACCAGTGGGATGCGTCCGTCCGCACTGTTGCGCTCCTGGTCTCGGGCCAGCTCCTATCCAAGAAAAAAACTGTCTAAGTGTGCCTTTGTGTTGCAGCGAATGCAAAACTGTTTCACTTGTCATGCTGGACATGAATCAGAGGCTATTTTCGTACGTGTTCTCAAGTCGTAGCCACGCATAACAGGTTTATTTCTGTGTCCTGCAGAGCAAACTTGTGATGCTATTCCTCCAAGAAACTTACACTACCACACTTTTTTTCTTGGATAGCTCCGCCTGCGTCTTCACAAAGTCTTGCTCCAAGTATTCGTAGTGAACCACGTTGAGGTAGTATGAAATTGCACAACTCCCCCTCCCCCTCTTTTGTCATGCAAAATCCCAAATCCAGTCGCTTCCCTGTGCCAAGGTTTGCATAACAAATTTCGGAAGCCCAAGCAGTACTACAGTAGGCACATGAATT